AATGGTCTAGATATGATATATCCTCTGACTTTGTGACTTTCTCTTGTAAGGCTCCTAACTTTGTCAAATCTTAACTATGTTACATGGTCAGACCACCGGTGGAATCACCGGATTGAGTGCTATGTTACCACAAGCAACCGGTCATGTAAATACCGGTCAAAAAATACCGGTTGCAATGGTCTAGATACAATATATCATAATATCCTCTAAATTTATGGCTTTCCCTTGTAGGGCTCATAACTTTGTCAAATCTTAACCATTTTACATGATCAGACCACCGGTGGAATCGCCGGATTGAGTGCTATGTTACCACAAGCAACCGGTTACATAAATACCGGTCGTTGTTGCACCCCATAATACCGGCCCACCCGTCTCCATTGCACCCTATCATGCCGGCCCACCCGTCTTCATTGCACCCCATATCACCGGCCCACTCGTCTTCATTGCACCCTATATCACCGGCCCACCCATCTCCATTGCGCCCTATAATGCCGGCCCACCCGTCTTCATTGCACCCCATATCACCGGCCCACTCGTCTTCATTGCACCCCATATCACCGGCCAGCTCGTCTTCATTGCACCCCATATCACCGGCCGACTCGTCTTCATTGCACCCAATAACACCGGCCGACTCGTCCTCATTGCACCTCCTTTACCGGCCCACCCGTCTCCATTGCACCTGCTATACCGGCCCACTCGTCTTAATTGCACCATATTTACCGGCCCACCCATCTCCATTGCACCTGCTATACCGGCCCACCCGTCTCCATTGCACCTGCTATACCGGCCCACTCATCTCAATTGCACCCTATTCTCCGGCCCCCTCGTCTTCATTGCACCTTATGTACCGGCCCACTCGTCTCCATTGCACCTCATTTACCGGCCCACTCGTCTCCATCACACCCCAGTTCCCCGGCCCACTCGTCTATATTGCACTCCATTCCTCCGGCCCACTCATCTATCACACACTGGATTCACTACTACTATTCATAATTTCCTATATAGTACATTGCTATACTACCATCTATACTATATACACCCGGCCCATCCGTTTGCCTTGGACACTCCACCCCCTCGGCCCACTCGTCTAACACGGTACAATTATTGCCATGGGCCGGCACCGGGTGGCCCGTCTCTATTGGTACATTGTCATGCCCGGCTGCCCGTCTCAGACGGGTGAATTCACTGAACGGGCTCGCTGAGTTGTCCGAAACTGAGCAGGTGACAGCTGTTTGGTTGTTCTCTCGTCAAACTGCAATTGCAGATTCATACCTCACAATCAAGAAAAAGTCAACTCGCACTTGTTACATTCAGTCAGAGTTAGCTGAATTTAGTCTAGGATAGTACACTCTGTGTATTTAAAATGTACTGATAACTATCCCACATAGCTTTGGCAATAGCATCCCTAAGCTTGGAAGCCTGAACTTGTTCTGCAGATGAGATATCACCTCCAAGACCCTTGAACCCATCTATCACTGCCCTGATAATATCACCATGGGGAGTTTCACATGCCTCTGGGAGGTCATTGTTGTCGTAAATACGGATGAAATTGTGTAGTACACAGATAGCAGGGACCATTTTTGCCTGTGCTGTGAGATCATACTCGGGAGAAACCACAGGAAGCCGAAAACACCTTTTGACCACTCCGAAAATTCATTCAATGACATTACGGGCTTGTGCATGACGCAAATTGAAAAGTTCACGATAGTTTTTGGGCCTATACAAGTCATGAGAAAATAATAGCATGATAGCAGAAATGAAATACCGTAAACCAATCCTACCCCACTCGTTTAGATGGTATCATTCTCCATGGTATGGGATCATGAGCCCATTGCAAATTGGAAAGCCTGCATCAGCGAGAAAATATTTACCAGGAGGGATAGTCAGGTTACTTCATTGAGCATCCTCATAGATGTGTCCATCAGCAGCACTGCCCTCCCAACCACTGAGAATATATGTAAACCACAGATCTTGTGAGCATGCAGCAAGCACATTCTGCGAGAGACAACCTTTTCGGTTGCGGTAACATGCCACGGCATCATCAGGAACAAAAGCATCCAAATGAGTCCCGTCAATTGATCCTTGGCAGTCTTAGAAGAATGGATAAAATTTCAGCTTGTCCTCGATCTCGGGTGCAAGTGGGGTGGTCGCGTCAGGAAGTCGTACATAGGCATTATAGAAAGCATCAGACATGAGGAGGTTGAGAATGCAATGGATGGCTCTGATAAGCAGAAGTCAAATTCTAAACTCGTCAATAATTATTATGGTGGCGCACTTTGTGAGAGTACTTGGACTGCGCTGAAATCATTCTTCAAGATGACGCTGGGGTAGGCCAGTTACAGCAAGATACAGGAATATTCTGAGCTGCTCTTCAGCCGAAACATGTCTTGTGTCATGAAGGCCATGTTTGATTAGCTCATGGAGAAGGGCCTGGAATACATGTTTATTCATTCCCATTGCATCGTAAAAATGCTGAGGATGGCCAGCCAGAAGCTCATTCAACCATTGTTGGCCAGTGAGCTTGGAAGTATTTTTGGGAGTTTTGTCGTAGCGGGCAGCATAATGATGTTGAGTAATGGAAGCAGCAGCGAGTGCAATAGTGATGACAGCTGCCCGTTTTTTCTTCATTTTCAAGCATGCAAAGTGCTTTCAAGTAATGTTGATTGCCATCAGCAAGTACAGTAGGGTACACTAGAAACAAACTCACTGCCCAGTTTGGGCCATTTCGCTGGTCTAATTTAGCCAACCATCAATTGAACCTGACCAGCGAAAATTGAACTGGATTCAGTTGCTGAGCTGGGCCTTAGTGATCAAGACAAACGGACGAGCAGATGGAAGGGGTGCTTTTTGCATGCTCTACCGAGCACACAATGATAGCGAGTGCTCAAGCAAATCGGACAGCGTGTGGAGCTCATGTGGAGCACAGACAGGAGAGTCATGCGAATTGGTTCCATGGGATCAAACATTTTGTCCTTACATATATTAGATATTATTGCCAAGACTGAGTACTGAGGCCTGAGGCCCAGTAGAAGTCCACTGTTTTGAAAATGGCTGAGGTTGCATGAAATCGTCTAAACTAAGCAACACAATCTCGACAGAAAAATAAGACTAATAGCACATGTGCAAATGTGCGTGATTGTACGTGATTGTCTCAGATTGTTTAGATGCAATATTTGCATGTCACCTAGATTGTGCCAGATCTGCTCGTATTGCCTGGCTGCAATGCTCATTGCGTCGTCCTGGATTGTGCTAGATCTGCTGATATTGTGTAGTATACATTACAGGTAGACAGATATAATAAAACTTGGCACATCCCGCCACCGTCTGTTACAGCCCGCACTTGTTCTAGCCTGCGCTCCATTCATATGCAGCTGTGCTTTGTCCGATCCCGAAAGGCAGTGAGATCACAAGAAGTTGAAGGGAGTGTGCTGTCACTGACAGTGATCCTCGTGAGGATGATCAAGATAATGCAGAGGCAGTGAGGTCGCAAGAAGTCAGAAGGAGAGTGGTGTTGCTATACTTTCTGGGCAGCGAGCTTGTCATATGACTGATTAAATATGTTAGTCTGAGACAAGGACAAATGATACAGAAGGCACACTTTTTCTGTGCTTCTGACAGTCCATCGTAGTAGGTCTTGAACTCAGCTGCTGATCCGGTGTTAAGACCGTGCTCAGGGGTAAAGCGGAGTCTGAGGGGCTTGGCTTCAGCTCGTACGCTGCACCCCTTACCTGAGTACGTGCCCCTAATTTCAGAATGTAGTCCGACATGAATTCTATGGGTTCCGACAGGACGTCAGAACGGGGGTCCTCTGAAGGAGGACCGATGGACTACTAGGTGAGCATGGGAAAGTCGGGCAGGGGTTGTTCCACCCAACAGGAGGGAAGCGGGAGAATACTGCGGTCAGAACCAACAGTAGAAGCGGAGCAGAAGGAACTGCTTTGGACGAAGTCTGAAGCAGAGCAGAACAGAGGGGATGGATACGAGAGTGCAGGGTCTAGTTCCGACACATGGGAAGTTGGAGGAGCGGAGGGACAGGGGAGCAGGGGAATGAGGGAATGGGCGAATGGGGGAACATAGGATCAGAGGATCAGAGGATGGCCAACCTAGGGAGTCAATCCCCTAGGCCGGCTTTAACAGGGGTTGACTAGGATCAGGCCCAAGTCAAAGAACAGAAGAGCAGGGCTTAGAAAAGGTAATATTCAGACTGAGTATCTACAGACAAATGTACATATGTTTATATACTATCAGTGATGAGCATAGCATAGCAGAAGGCTATGTGCTGAGTGTACAGGATTACAATAGGATGACTGAGACATACAAGAATAAGGCTTGGGGAACAGTATGTACGCGATGGATCAGAATCGCTAGGGTATAGGGATTACCGGTGATCCAAAAAGCAGAACTATGATACTAAACGGGGATAGGACCAGTTGAGTGGTTCCTAGTCTAGGAGGGGACCGGTGAGTAGTGCTGCCGTGGTCCAGTCCCGAACCGTGGTTCGAACCTGACCATTGGTCAGGTTCGTCCTTGGTTCGGTCCATGGTCCAGCATTTTGCATGGACCGAACCGGAACGAGGTTCGTGGTCCGCTAACTCCTGTGCGGTTCATCTATAGGTTCGGACCTTCCCGAACCGTTCCGAACCCGGAACCGAATCTTCCTTGCAACGCCTTCAAGGCTCAAGCACACGCTTATGGTCATTTTGACTTCTCGATCCTCAAGATTCGCCATGGTCACTTTGACCTTTGGCATTCTCAAGACTTTTTTCGACTTATCCTGTCCGGAGGTTCGCATCCCGCACACCCTGCTGTCCGATAAAGCCTACCTGTCCAATCAAGCTCGAGGTACGACTTTTCCATCAAATCAAGCGCAATAAACTGATTGATCTGATATATTGATATATTTTTTTAGGATCTGTCAATGCATACTACGAGTTAGTAGGAGATTGGGTATTCACATATAAAGGGAGCAAGGTGAGTGATATATTTCGACTACCGGTACAATGTCTGAACCTGAAGCACAGTGTGCCCTCAACCCAGACGGGTCTCTAAAGGACGCCAAAGACATCGTTTTTTACAACGATCCTGATGATGCCGTCCCCATTTCCACTCCATCCTCTGCCCAACCCCCCACAGACGCCTTCTCTGTGCTACTGCAGACTGGACGCAAACCAGTGCCACTTACTGCAGGTGCTCGACGCTCCATTCGCACCTCTAAACCTTCTGCACGCCTTCGTGATTCCGACAACGCTTGTTCTTCAACAAGCCGCAAGCGCGCATTATCTAGTGCAACCGAGCAACTAGTTAGGAAGAAGGTTGTGTTACAGCTCTCCGCTCCATTATCAGACGATGAAGACTCTCATGCAGCTGGTGCTGACACGGATATTGATACTGACCACGGTGCTGGTCAATCAGATGAGGCCGAGGACGATGATGTACCAGCACCTGAGGACGAACCTGAGGACGAACCCGAAGATCTTCAAGACACCACCATCCGAGCCACTTTATCAAAGAGTGAGCGCACCGCTGATATTCGAACAATCTTCACTCGCGACGACAAACATTGGGTCTGCAAACCTTGCAGGGATGCTGGTGAACTTGAAAGCAAGTACACGTTTCGCGGAGGTA